TTGAGACCAGCCTGGGCAACTTAGTGAAACCTCATCTCTACAATAAATCAAGAAAAATTAGCTGGGCATGGTGGCGCATGCCTGTAGTTCCAGTTACTTGGAAGGTTGAGGCAAAAGGATCACCGGAGACAGCAGGTCGAGGCTGTGGTGGCCAGGAGGGTGCCACTGCACTCCAGCCTGGGCAACAGAGTGAACCTCCAACTCAAAAATAAATAAATAAAGCAATAGGTGGGGGCCAGATGCGGTGGTTCATGCCCATAATCCCAGCACTTTGGGAGAGTGAAGCAGGAGGATCATTTAAGGCAATGAGTCTGAGACCCTGTCTCTTAAAAAAAAAAGAGAGAGAGACAACAGGAAGAGATGAGACTATGAGATTTCAAAGGATTGTTTTTTTGTTGACTCTCCAAACATTGGAGGGCTGACAAGGACTGAAGTTCTGATCCATGCCACATGGATGAACCTTGAACACACGATGCCAAGTGAGAGAAGCCAGACACAAAAGATCACAGGATGTGTGATGCCATCTATACGACATGTCCAGAATAGGCACATCTGTGCGGGCAGGAAGCAGCTTCGAAGTTGCCAGGGGCTCAGGGTGGAGTGAAGAGTTAGCTGCTGACGGTCTGGCCCAGGGTCTAGGGTAAGGAAAAAGTTCTACACTTAGACAATGGTGCTGGTTGCACAGCTCTGTAAATTCAGAACCCATGGGATTGTGCACTTTAGACAGGTGACTTTATGGCATATGGATTAGAACTCAGTAAAGCAGTCTGAAAATGAAAGAACTCTTGGAAGGCAGTCTGAGAACAGCAGGTGTTCGTCAAAAAAACCCCTTAGGAAAAGTGGAACCATATTGCGTCGTTTTGTGCACCTGTCTCTCTCTTCTTTCCAACCATCAGACTTGTTTCAGTCTTGTCCCTGTCCTCCTTTAGACCCTGAGAGGAGAGCTGGGCCTTTCTGGGTGACCTGAGTCCAGCAGGTGGGGAGGCCCCACTGCCTGTTGCCTAGAAGGAGCATTGAACTCCTCACCCCAACCCCGGCATGTCCCAGGGCAGCCGGCCAGCCATCCTGTCGCTCAGTGGGTATGCCTGGTCAGGACTCCACCCAAGCCAAACAGCCGGGGTGAAACGTTGGGCAAAGCCAGCAGGCGTTCGGCTAAGCCTCCTCCACTTCCTGGCAGATCACGCTCGGCTTAGGGCCCTGCTGGAATCCCTCCGGCCTCTGCGGGGCCTAAGTGGCCATGGCCCTGCTGTAGGGGGTTGTGATGTTGCTTTAGCCCTCTCTGGCTTTCACCTCTGACCTGGTGCATGTTTTTTTAAGAATATTTTCTTACTGAGGTATCATTTTCATACCTCATGAAGAGCACAAGGATCTTAAGTGTGCAGTTCAGATAATTTTGGCAAATACATGCACCCGTGTACTCACACCCCACCAAGATCTAGGATATTGCTGCCATCCAAAGGGTTCCCCTGGGTACCGGCAGCCACTGTCTTATCCCATCATGACACATACCACTGTCACCAGTTCTGGAGCTTCACATGCATGCAGTCGTCCATGGTGCTCTCTTGAATCTGGCTTTCAGCTCAGCACCATGGTGAGACTCACCGGGACAGGTGTGAGCAGCTCGTTCCCTCTCATGGTTGAACAGTGATCTATTCTTTCAAGGTTTACTTTGTTTCTTCATTTTCCTGTTGATGGTCACCTGGGCTGTTTTTGGTCTGCGGCTCTCGTGAATAAGCCTCCTGTGACCATTCTTGTTAAGTCCTTTTGTGGCACATATTTTTATTTCTCTTGGATGAATATCTGAAAGTAGGACACAGGCCTCTCCTGAGGGGTCACCACTCCAGGTCAACAGGCAGCCGACTCTCACTGAAGACCAGAGAGAAAGTGTTGGGTGCTTTGCAGGCCACACAGTCTCTGCCCAGTGGCCCAGCTCTGCTGTTGAGTAGAAAGACTTGAGTGTGGCTCTGTCCAAACTTGACTAATAGGGTCTGAGATTCGAATTTCATAGAATTTCAATATCACGAATTAAGTTGATTTTTTCCAATCATTAAAAAATATAAAAAGTATTCTTAGCTGAGGGCCACACAAAACAGGCGTCATGGGGGACGGCGGGGAATGAGGAACCTCACCAGATATCTGTGAGAGGGTTCTTGCTAAAATTGGATTTCATAGGGAAGTGCACAGATGGCCTAGAAGGCTCAGAAGCCTGACTTAAGTTTGATCAAACAGAGACTGTGTCAGGATCATGGAAAATTTCATAAAGTATAGCTAAGAAGGATGGAAAAAAGGGCTTAATATTTATTTAACCAGAGTAACAAAGACCCAAAGCCAATCCAGTAAGAGAGAACATAGTCCATAAATCAGCAGCCATTAAACTGTGGACTCCAATTTTTTCCTACTGACATTTATTCTGATTATTTAAAAAATTTGTGGAGAAAATAGAAAACATAAAATGTAGAGAGAATTAGGAAACCCCCTGATAATTCCATCACTCAAAAACAAACAGTGCTTATGCTTTGGTATAAACCTATTTCCAACACAGTGGCTCCTAGTACATGTGGTTATTTAAATTTAATAATTAAAATGAAATAAAATTGAAGTCATTACTGTCATTTCTGCATTATTTCCTTCTTGCTTCCAGCTTTTCATTTATCAGTCTTGGATCATCCTTTACACCTTTCTAATTAGCGGTTGAAATTGCCATTCCCTTTCACATAAGCGTTTGTGACACTAACTTTGAATGTGGATAAATTGTCTGGGGCTTGTGCAGGGGAGCAGGGCTCAGAGGGGCAAATGCTGGCCATTTTTTTTACTGCTGTGTGAGCTTAAGGAAGAGTCTTAACCACTCTGTGGCTCATCTTCTGCTTTGTAAAGCAGGGGTAATAGAAAGCTCTTTGTAGGCTGAGTGCGGTAGCTCATGCCTATAATACTAGCACTCTGGGAGGCCAAGGAGGGAGGACTGCTTGAGCCCAGGAGTTCGAGACCAGCCTGGGAAACACAGTGAGACCTCATCTCTACCCCCCCCAAAATTGGGGGGGTGGTAGTATGTTCCTGAAGTTGCAGCTACTTGGGAGGCAGAGGTGGGAGGATTGCCTGAGTGGCTGAGGCTGCTGTGAGCTGTGATCTGTGACAGAGTGAGACCCCAACTCAAAAAACAAAACAAAACAAAAAACGTTGTGGGGATTGTGATTAAAACATATGGGGACAGTAGTGACTGACAAGTGTTAGCTTCCCATTCATGGCCTAGCATGCCCCACAGATGAGTGGATGAAACTTTTTCCAGGTTTTAAGTGTAACCTACATCACAGCAGAAAACGTCTTTGCACAGCTTTTAGTCTTTTGATGCTTTCCTTGAAATCGATTCCCCAGAGAGGTGGAAGTGGTCATAGGGCACAATTTTATGACTTCCCCTTAATTGCCAGATCACTGCCCCAGAGACTGCTCAGTCCATGGGGTTTCTTGCCAGCCCCACGCCACAGCCCTGCCATCAGTGCCTGGAGCTCTGTCTTGATAGCTCCAGAAGCCCTAGGACAGAGTGCCAGAGTGAGTCCCAGAGCTGGAGCTGGGTGGGTTGAGGGGCCTTCCGTATTCACTGTCCTCAGAGAAGTCGGCGGAGGGAACTGGCTTCAGTAAGAAGGTAGCTTTGGAAGCATCACCCCAGGCCACCAGGAGAACAACTGCACTGGATGTCTGTGACATCTCCCGTGGGCAATCTTGACCTCCATGAAATTCAGTGACCCTTGCAGCCCCTCAGTCCAAGACCACCAGGAGCAAGCCTGCAGTCCCCCCAATCGGGCTTATGACTAACTGCATGGGGAGGGCGTCTCGAGAACAAAGGAAAGGCAGGTTCTCATGAGATGGGGAAACTTAGGGGAACTTTATACGGAGCATGTTTCCGACAGGCTCGGAGCAAAGCAGGGCTGTGTGCGGGTGGACGGGTGGTCTTCTTGCCCCGTGCGGAGCAGAGGATCCGGAGCTGCACCCCGGGCTGAGCAAGGAGGAGGCCGAATCTCTCTGACCAGCTCCACCAGGGGGGTGTGCCCTTCCTCCTGCTGTCACTTCAGAAGGCAGTGTCTGCCGGGGTGAGAGGTGGGGAGCAAACCCAGAGTCGCTCAGACACTGGACTGTGGTCGCAGCTTGACCTCGGGGAAGGAAAGTCCTGGCTTATGGGCAGCTGTTTTCTTGTCTGTCACTGCGGTCTGGATTGGCACAGTGGGCACTTTCTCAGTGGAATCTAACTTGTGATTTTTAGCTGTTATTTTCAGAGCCACCCCTGCCCCCAACTCAGGAGCCTGAGCCCACCAGGCTCCGGTGGCTGTCTTTCAAGCTTATACTCAGTTTCCCTCAGCAGAGCTCGGCAACACCTAGCAGCCAGGGCACTCCCAGTGGGGTCAGTCGGTCACCTTGCGCAGGGCGAGGACGCTGGCCCCAGAAATCCCGCGAATCCCTGGACGGCAGGGCCCCTGTTCCTACTGTCAGGCCACAGGGACGGCCAGGACCTCACGCTGGAGTCCTGAATCCTCCTGCCTCTCCAGCCACCTCTCACTTTCTGCCGGGCTTGTCCAACGATGTGCAAAGCCTAGCTCTCGGGTGGCGTGGCCAGGCCACTGCAGCTCCCAGTGACACCAGCTTCTTCATCTGTAAGACAAGACGCCCCCGCGCGCCTCCGCGCCGTCTCCCCTAAAGGCCCCGCCCCATCTCCTGCCAAGCTGCCTCCGCCTCTCCCAGAGGCCCCGCCTCTCCACGACCAGGCCCCGCCCAGAAGCGCAGCGGGCCCGCCCCATCCCAGCCAGGCTCGATCTCCGCATCTCCCAGAGACCCCGCCCCTCGCCGTGGCTCCTGCCCTGTCTCTCCTAGAAGCCCCGCCCCTCGCGGCGGCCCCGCCCTATCCCCTGCGGGGCTTCGTCTCCGCATCTCGCAGGGCCCCGCCCCTGATCGTGGCCCTGCCCCTCTACGACCAGGCCCCGCCCCGGCGCGGCGCGCATGCTCGGCCTGTGCTGGGTGGACGCCGCAGTCCCTGGCGCCGGAGCCGCTGCAGCATCCTCAGCGTCGGAACCTCCAGGCCGCTGCCCTTCTCCAGCCCTTCTTCCTCCTGCGGCCGGCGCGATGGCGAAGCCGCTAACGGACAGCGAGAGGCGGAAACAGATCAGCGTGCGCGGCCTGGCGGGGCTGGGCGACGTGGCCGAGGTGCGGAAGAGCTTCAACCGGCACCTACACTTCACGTTGGTCAAGGACCGCAACGTGGCCACGCCCCGCGACTACTTCTTCGCGCTGGCGCACACGGTGCGCGACCACCTGGTGGGCCGCTGGATCCGCACGCAGCAGCACTACTATGAGAAGTG